TTTGACAGCGTCTGAAAACAAGCCCTGACCTGACAACTTTCTGAGTTTCACTCCAACAAACACGGAGCTGAGGCGTCGTGTGTTCGTGTTGATGCGTTCGTGTTGACGTGTTGATGTCAGCGTGATCTTCACATGTTCAAACAGTCGCGTGTTAGATCAGCATCAGAGAACTTTCATTTGAATATTATGTATTTCATACGTACAGTTAACGCTGTGAAACAGGCGCCCCCTGCTGGTGGCCCCTAACTCACAGCAGATTCTCCAGCTGTGAAATCACAGGAAGTAAAAATACCAACGGAGGAACATTTCTACTGCTGAGGTCAGATGGTTTAAAGTTGATCATATTTGAACTGGATTGAATGTAATCCACACATCGGATCACGTTCTGCTGCTAACAAAGTTTAATAAGTGATTAAACACCTGAAGTTTCTTCAGTCGTCGCTGAGTGGAAACTGAATATTTTCAGGTTGACGTCTGAATATTATACAAAAGGAGAAAATGAGAAATCTCACATCTGAGCAGAAAACGTTGTAATTTAATTATATTTCATTTAAAAACCAAATGACGTCAATGAAAATGTCTGAAATGTGTCAGAGCTCGACACAGTGAGAGTTCAGAAGTGAAGAGCAACCGTGTAACATGTAAACAAGGGTGTGGAGGAACACACACCCACAGACACACACATCCACAGACACACACAATCACAGACACACACACTCATTCATTAGAACACAGAGTAAACAGGGTGCAGTAAACAATAGATGCCCTTAAAAAAATTCCACACACACACACACACTCCAGCATCCTTGTGGAAACTCACAGCGTCTCAGTTTAGCCCTGAGGCCCCTCCCACCTCACGTGGCGTGAAAACAACGTCGATGATAAAACAAGAGAGAGAGAGAGAGACTAATAAATTGTAAAGAGGGCCGAACGTATTTGAGGAGGAGTTGTAGTAGAGTTTGTCGCACATTTCAAACTAACGTCTACAACACTCATACATGAGAACGCCCTCCTCCACCATCGCCATGTTCAACTCAGAGCCGCCCTCTAGTGGACACTTCCAACAGTCTGCAGAGTCATTCAGACTAGAGCCCTGCGCGGGACTGTTTTCTTTATCCTGCTCCCGCTGAATTTTTACCGCCCGCAAAACTCTGAGAATTTATGCCCAATAATAGAGATGCATTGATTTTATAGGCTATTATTATAAGATTCATGGGGTAGTTTGTTTCGTTTCTCTGGCCTGCATGTCTTTTGACGGTCAGGAATAGTGCTCATTGAAAAGCAGCTTTCTTTGACCCGGGGAGAACAGAGCAGGTGTGTCGCCTCAACCCAGAGGTGCTGGATTTGTTTAGACTAGTATTTTCCCGATCCTGCAGGGTTTTTTTTAGCCACCCGTTCCCGTCCGCAGCAAAGTTCAAACCGCCCACTCCTGCGAGAGTTGAGTTGGGTCCTATGTGACCCGGCGGGACCCAATCCCAATGCAGCCCTCTAATTCACACACTGATCACATGAGCCAACCGACAGAAATGACATAAACCCAGCGAGTTACGAAATCTAAGTTTTTCCTACCTGACAGCGGCTCTCTGGGTTTGACCTCCTCCACCACCTCCTCCTGCATCGGCTGCTCCTCGGGTCCCTGAGACGAGTGGTCGGCCATCGACTCCCTCTTCATCTTCCCCAGACCGACCATCTTCATGAAGGACAGGCGGCGGCTGCTGGAGTCGCACTCGTTCTCCGAGCAGTTCAGCTCACCGTTGGTGAAAGAATCCTTGTAGGAGCTCAGGGTGTCACGATATTTTCCCGCAAACCTGGAAGGGAAGAACACTCATGACCTTAAACTCCCATCATCCTTTGTAACAGGAACAATCTTTTCCTCATCACACAAGCTGAGACCCCGCCCTCCTTCGCTCCCTCCTCACCTGAGCAGACTTCCTTCAGAGCTCCTCCTTCCTCTCTTCTTCTTCTCTGCAGGTGACGGCGTTCCCTGCAGTGACCCCTGTGGGGAGGGAGTGGCACTTCCTTTGCTCCTCCCGGACGATCTCAGCGCCTTCCCAAGTTTTCCTAGACTCTTCAGCGGAGACTTGAACTTGAAGGAACCCTTCACTGTGCTTCCTCCTCCGCTTCCCTTCTTCCCTTCATTGGCCTCGTTCTCGTCCTCTTCGTCCTCGAATGGGTTGCGGTCCCTCGGCACCTCGCCATCCAGTAGCGAGCTGCCAGGTGACCAGTGGTTGCCATGGCCACTGTTGTCATGGATGCTGTCGTCCTCGAAGGGGTTGTGGTGGGGGGTGATGTTGAGGCTCATCCTGCGCAGGATCCAAGCGTTGTCGAGAGTTGGACCACCGCCTTTCAGGCACAACGGGAGGTTCTTGAGGACGGGCATGATGGGGGTGGGGGAGGGGGGGCAGAGAGGGAGGAACCTGGGGAGGAACGAAGAGAAAAATCATCAGAGAAGAAGAACGAAGACGTGAAGAAAGAATCGGACACAAACCAACAAAACCACAGCAGACGAATCCTCATTATAATCAGTGTTACGTTAAGTTAGGCGTGGACACGCCCACTTGTGTATGTAAGACATTTAGAGACACCTAGTGGTGAATTTACATATTTCAACCACCTGAACTACGCAGACAAGACTTTCACACATGAACTCCAGTTTGTGTTTCTGTGAGACTCCGAATATTTTCATATAAAACGTTTTAACTGAAAACTGTGTGAAGTCTGTTGTAGAACGTCAGCGACTGAAAATCCAGTCAATAAAGTTTAACTACTTGATGCCATGACAACACAAACGACTTCTGATTGGCTGCCAGGTTAGTTTGAGCCGTGATGTCATCAATGACCCTGAAATAACACCAAGGATCTGTGGCACCTCCAGACCACAGCCACCATGGCAACAGAACACTGCTCTCTGATTGGCTGGCAGAAGTTCAATGAATAATCAGAGTCCACAGTTTAATTGTTGTCCGGAGATCGAGGTGTGCTGACCTGCAGGTAACCATAGCAACAAGACGGATGCTGGTCTGCAAAAACACGCCCCTGGTTGTAAAGCAGCTGCAACATGTTTCCATGATCGTAAAGCACAGACATAAAATCATCAAACATTGACAGAGATCAGCTCCGAGCAATGATTCACTCATCACGACAGTTTGTGACTCACTGATAACAACTTCAGTTCCCGACACCGAAGAGACGTTTTTAAACCACTGCAGCAGAAAATCTAAAAAAGGTTCAGAGACAGTTTTCATTTACAAACTCAAGAAACATACGACCACTTTTAGAAAAACCAAATGAATCAATCAATCAACATTTATTTATATAGCACCTTACAACAACCAAGGGTTGACCAAAGTGCTTCACAATTGCAAATCAAACATACACAAACAGCAAACACGAGACAAGAACAACAGTTTCAGTTGAAGGCTAAATCAAACAAGTATGTTTTTAGCTTGGTTTAGAACAGAGGCAGGTCAGTGGTGGTGCGTAGCTCAGAGGGCAGTGCATTCCAACCCCACTGTTTGCTCCTGGATCGAGGGACCTCGAGCAGGTGCTGACCAGCAGAGCCGAGAGCTCTGCCGGGTTGGTGGAGCTTCAGGGTTTCGCTTATGTAGGTGGGTGCACATGAATGACTGTCTTTCTTCACAGTCAGATGAAAACTTCAGAACTTTAAACATGAATCAGTGACTAGAAGTGATTTGATCATCAGTCGATCAACTCATTGATGAATCAAACACCAAATAAGACGAAGACGACAGAATCAAGTTTCTTAAAATCTGGAAATCGCTGAAGGACGGTTGGTTGTGACGAGTTACCATGGTTACAGAAACAGTTTTATAAGAGAAGAGGGAAGTCTTGACTGTGTGTGTGTGTGTGAGTGTGCTAGGAGTGGTTGTTGTTCATGTTGTTGATTTCAGTCTCACCAGCTCAGGACACACATCATATATA